GCGAAAAGCAAAGGCTCTCAAGGCAGAGAGAGACTGTCAAACCCGCCCTTCAAGCCCGGCCCATATACAGACGAGAACCCCTGGGGTCGCCGCCTGTAAAGCACCGGTTCCCCCGATCCACCGAAGTTGCAGGCGGCCCTCCGACCTGTGTGCGGAGGTGGGAGAAGGGCCCCCCTTTTTTCTTCTTTTTCTTTTCGATTTTTGTATCCGGGGGGGATGCATTGCGCCTAGGCGACGTGCATCCTCCTCCGGCCGGCGGGGATACAATAAGCCTAGGCAAAATGTACCCCGGGGTACATTTCGCCTAGCCGCATTGTACCCGGGGTACAATTCGCCTGGCACCTAGGTGCATTGTACCCCTGGGTACATTGAACCTAGTCGTCATGTACCCCAGGGTACCTTGGCCCTAGGCGTTGTGTACCCGGGGGTACTCTGGGTCCGGGGGGGTACACTTACACGCCGACACCGGCGACCGATCTCCAAAACGCCTGGTGGCAGGCATCCACCCCTGTAGGAAGGCTAAGTCGCAGACGAGCGCGAGTGTGAGACTTGGTGGCGGCGAGCGAGTTAGGTCTGTGAGGACGCGCTGACCGCGCTTGCCGCGCTGAATGACCACCTGGAATTCCGACTTGGCTTGTTCAGCACGACAAATGGGGGCCTACTGGCTGTGCATTTTGTATGGCGCCCCACCCACTCCGTCCTGGCGGTCCTGGAACTACTGATGGCTTTGTGTCCATTGTGTCAATGAAACAATGCGGCGCGGGGCGCTCCGGGCAACAGGCCCTGCAGGCCCTGCAGACCGAACAGCCGAACGCGGCCGAACGGCGAGGCGGGCTGAACGGGCTGGCCCGGCCCTGGCGTCGCCCTGGCGGTACTCCGCCCTCGGCGTTGGCACTGCGTTGGCACTGCTGTGGCCGCCCCCAGCACTTCATCCGCGAGCAGGCCGCAGAGTACCGGACGCTGGTCGCGGGCCACGCTGGCGCGCACTTGGACACGACTTACCTGAACTCGAGGGCTCTGAGAACAACGCTGGAAAATGTTTCGCGAAGTGACTCCACGTTTTGGCGCCGTTGTCGTCGTTCGTGCCTATTAGGCAGCCCTTCAGACCTTCGGCACTTCAGCCCCTCAGCCCGTCCAGGTCCCGGGTCGGTCCCGGGTGCGAGGCAGCGGGCGTCGCGGGGCGTCGCCACAGGTTGCCGCGGTGCGCTGCGTCTCACGCTGCGTCACACGCTGTACCGCGCATGGCGGCCCGGCGGGCCTGGTCGCCTGGCCTCGGGCGCGCCGGGGTAATGCGCTTAGCGCGGCCTTGCCGGCAGGGTGGCGGCATGGTGGCGGTCAGCGCTGTTCGAAACGCACGGCGTCGCACACCCGCAGCGACAAGGCCGCGGTCAGAAAAGTCTGCCGCTACTCCGGGCGCGAGAGACTCGCCGTTCGGCCGCAGCACGTCCGCGTCCGTGGCGGGGCGGGGCGGGGCGGGGCCGCCCCACGAAAATTGGACCGGGGTTATGACCTGCGAAAAAAGCATCAGGCGCCGGGCACGGCTCGGCGCGGCCCGCAGCAGTGCGGCGCCGATGTCACACGTCCTGGAATGGGGCCTGGTGGCCGTGTGGCCGAGGGCCTGTAATGACCCCCTTCCGACTGCAGTGACACTGCCCCCTCCCCCGCCCCGGTGCCAGTGGCGGTGCCAGTGCGGGGGCGCGGCCTCGGGGCCTCGTTGAAGGCGGCTGCAGCACTACTGCGTGCGGACTGACTGGGCGGGCAGCGGGCACAAATTCGCGTGCCCGGGATTTAAATTCCAGTGCAGCGTGGCAGCGCGGCAGCCACCCCCGCACCGCGCACTCACCCGAGCGTGCCGCCATCCTGGCCGCCGTCCTGGCCGGGGCTCTTGGCGATGTCCGCGCGGCCCTCGGCGCGGCCAGTCTGCTGGGGCACTTTGTCACGGCCGGATTGGCTTTGTCAGGCGGCCTGGCCTCGGCGTGCCTCGGCGTGCCTCGGCGTCACGTCGCGAACCTAAAGCACCGGCAGCCACCCTGCGTCTTCATTCTTCTGGCCGCTTCTGCCCGGCGGGGCAAACAAATCCCCGGCCCAGCCATTGGCCAGCCAAAGCCCCCTCCATCCCTGTGTGACCTTAATTATTTTTATGAAACGCTCCATCAAGACGTGGACGGCAGCGCGCACCCGAAACGGGAAAAGCCGCCCCAGTCGTCTAGTCGGTGGGCATTCTGCCTCGCAGAGAAATAATCATCATAACCCCACCACAAAAACGCGGGTCGACCAGCGTGCGATGGTTCGAGTCCCTCTCTGGCCGGCCCGTTTTACGCAGCTCCGCCACCCCAGAGGGGCCTGGAGGGGCAGAGGCAGCCAGAGGAGAGGATGCCGCACCCCGCGTCTTTGTTTTATGACTTAGACAAACACCTTCGCGTCCAATCCCACCTCCTTCAGACTCTCGCACACACGCACCCACACTGCTAAGCACACGGCCGTGCGCGCCGTGCGCGCCGTGCGTGGAAAAGACAAACACAAACACGCCACAAGGCAGGACACCTCGCGGCTCGCTCTCTGGGCTCGCCCCTGCAGAGCAATGCAGAGCAATGCAGAGCATGGCGCCGACTTCGTGAGGTGTGCCACACTTGCCCTTTCAAGTTCCCGCCCGCGCGCGGAGTAACTGGCTGGCGGTTCGGTCGGGTTGCGAGGGTCCCACCGAGTCGGCCGCAAATCCGCCTTCGACTCTTTGTCCCACTATCGCCTACGCACAGCGTAGCACAGCGTAGGCACGCGGCGGGTGTGGCCTTTGGGTCTCGACTAGGGACCAGAACACGAGAGCACCCCGCTGTCCAATCATTGGTTATCCCCTGAGCCCTGGGTAATGATACAACGGAGGGCAAGGTAGCCTTAGACCTGTAACAACGCACGATAGCTACCACCGAAAAATTCCAGCATTTACGCGAAACAGTGCCATGACTTTCAGCAAACTAAGAAGTGATTTTGTTCAAATAACTCCTGGAGCATGACCATGGAGCTTCTGGAGGATGCTGCTCTCAGGTGGCTTTGATTTTAGCGTCGAGCCCGGAATACCGTTCGCTGCCCCCTCGGCCCTCGCTCGGCCCTCGCTCGGCTAGACGGCGACGGTGTAGGCGTCGGTGACGGGCACGGAGGGCCCCGAGACGATTTAGATGAGCCACTCGTCTGGGCGCCGCCCCTCGCCGCCCCCTTCCTCTCCCCCTCCCTCCCTCCGTCGCGGGCCCCCGGTGGAACAAAGAGGCTCTCCCCAGGTAATTATCGATTCGCGGCGCATAACGGCCCGTGCGCCAAAATTGCAAATTGCGATGCGGTCTTTATTCTCCCGACGGGAAGAAATGAGACGGAAGTTTGCCGCTGCCGAAGGGCCGCAGGGCGATGACCCGGCAGGATTAGGGAAAGGAAGTGCAGGGGCACAGTGGGCCAGAAGCCGTCGCAGGAGGTCAAAACTCTAGACGCATTTTGAGCTCCAGAGTCGCTAAACAGGACTTGATACGAACGTGTGACCCCACCAATGGATTGCTCTCCTAACGTGGGATCCATTGGTGGGGTCACACGCTCGCTTCGAGTCCCATTTAACGACTCTGGAGCTCAAAATGCGCCCAGAGTTTTGGCCGCCTGCGCTGGTCTTCGGGCCCACTGTGAGGGGCCGCGGCGTGGCCAGCGCCTGGCGGCAGGCTGCGAGCTCGGCCCGGCCGGCCGAAGGGTTGCCTACGCGGCCGGCGCTTCGACCGACAGCGCGGAAACGGCGGCACGGCACGGCACGGCACGGCACGGCGGGCAGCACAGGAACAAGCTGGTTTTGGTGCTGCTGTTACTCACACTCCTCTTTTCTCACCCGCACGGACAGAGGATCCACTTTTATTTGCGGGTGTGGTGCCTGTTGACGGGGCGCTCTGCACCCTGCTCACCTGGCTGGGAAGGCACGGGCTGCTGCTCCGTTCCGCTCCGCCCTGCCTGCGCGCTGCGCGCCGCGCCGCCTGATCGGGCCGAGTTTACTCGGGGCGTGGCAAAGCCAGGCCACGCCAGGCAACGCCTTGCTGCTCTATTATTGACGTTTGCATATTGATGAGGGACTGCGAGGAGTTCGGCCGAGGGTGGCGGTGCGCGCACCGCGGACTGCGGATCAGACTTGCAGGTACTGAGTGACTTACCCGAGACTGCAGGTTGTCGTCGTGAAGCGCGGAGCAAGGCCTCGTGCTTCTAGAAGCAACCCCTGCACAGTAAATCGAAATAGCAGGAGCCGTAACGGTTTGGCACAGAAACCGCAAGTAAATGATTCTAGATTTGGTATGCACAGAAAATGCAATGGGCTCGCGCGGAAACTGCGAAGAGGTTACGGTCTCACTGGGCAACCTAACCTCACTGCGTCTTAAGACGCATTTGTTGTTTTGAACAATATATACATATTCTGATGCGTGTGCATACTTTTTCTTACATTGACAAGTCTATAAGGTAATAATTTTCCTACGCGGTACCTCTACACCCTTTATTTCAAATTGTATGGAACCTCAAAGTCGCGAGGTGGAGCGAATCGCACTTGACGAATACAAGGCTGTGCTGTACGGATTCCGAGGCAGGAGTGCATGGATTCCGTCGCTCGTCTTCGAAACGAGTTTGCCGTTGGAGGATTTGAAGCAAAACGACCAGATCTTACCTGTCGATTTCTGCGATTCGGGGCTCCCAGACCACCACAGATTCTGCCGACTGGCGCGGGGAAGAAGGCTCGCAGAGTGAACTGGCGGCAACCCCATTGTGGCCACAGCATCTCTTTTCTTGCGCGAGTGACCGCTGCCGTGGTGGCGGCCCGGCGGTGGTGGCCCGGTGGCCTGCCGGCGAGGTGGGCCTTGCGGTGGTGGCGGTGGAGGCGGTGGAGGGGAGCGGGGTGGTCCGGTTCCCCTCCGCCCGCCGCCGCGCCACCAGCCTCCCCGGCCCAGCATCCCCGCCGCCCCGCCAGTAGCGACTGGGGCACAGAGCCGGCAGGGCGTCGGGACGCTGCGTCGGGACACCCTAGCGCACCGCCGCGTGGTGGCGGACCCGCGTGCTGCGCCGACGTCGCGCCGAACCCGGTTGCCATTCGCCGACCGTCACGTGCCTTTGTGGACAGCCGGCCGCGCGCGGTGCGCATCCGTCCAGGATTACGCCACCGACTGAAGCGGACAACCGTGCTCCGGATCAAGTTCGCGAGATAAAGAGAGAAGAATAAAATTAAACAGTGCGCACGTGCATTTGCTGAGCGCCGTGGAGTAACGAGCGCGTCGAGGGGCGTGTACTGCCTACGAGAGCAGGTGGGTCTGTGTGTGTGTGTGTGTGAATGTAAACATGTGTGAATTCTTGCGTGTCTGTCAAAAATGAAATAATATGACAAGCCTGGAGGGGTGGACGGGCGTTTTGTTTCATTTTGCTTTCGTCTAATTTATCAAGTACTCATCTCTTTATTTTCTCTCTCCGCCTTTCATTCATGCCGATGTTGCTGCCCTGTCTCTCTCTTTCATTAATTTCCCCTGTGTCTGTGTATTAAAAACGCCGACACCCCCAAGTCACGATCCTCGGGCCAGCTTGAAGTTGTGTGTGTGTGTGTGTGTGTGTGGTGATGGTGGTGGTGGGGAAAAAGGGGGGGGGGGGCGAAGTACGAGATAGACTTTATTAAATTGGCCCGCCCGGCAGTCGAGTGTTGCAAAATGCCCCGCGATATGAGATAAAAATGAAACACGAAGCCGAGCCGTCTGACTTTTCTTTTCGGCTGATCATTACTTTCTACAGTTCCGTTGCCGGGATGGGGGACCTGCAGTGCAGGGACGTGTTATTGAAGTCGGTCGGCCGACCGGCCGGCTAGTCCAACCCATCGGATCGGAATGAAAGTAGCGGACAAAGGGATGTTGATTGTCAGCGGAGGCTATCACAACATCACACGGGCCCCCCTGGACCGCCCTGGACCGCCCGGGACCGCCGCGCCCGGGACACGGGGAGCTGGACCGGCAGCAGGGTGGAGGCGGCGGGGACCAACGGGCTCCAACGGCCAGTAAGTTTCGATCACGAGATATTGAGGTAGAGATGGGGCCGAGCCAAGGCCGAGCGGGGGACGGACGCGGAGGTTCACATATGGCGACCGATGGCGACGCAGCAGCGCAGAATGCGGGCAGAATGACAGCAGCGGGGCTGGGGCTGTGCACTGTGCAGTGCCGTCCCGAGCCCGACCCCCCGAGAAGGACACGGCAGCGAAATATATGTAGTCAGGAAGAGGGTTTTGAAGGTGTTTTTGCGCTGTGGACGAACGACAGTGGCGGCCTAGGCAGGAAGCCTCTGCGAGGGATGCGCTGCGTGGCCCACCCTCCCTCAACTTGGCAGTGCAGCGCCGCCTGCCCAAACATCCGTGGAGAGGCCGCGCTTCCCGTCCCGCGGTGCCGCGCGCCGCGAACCGTGGAGGACATGAGGGTCTCCGGGACAACCTTCGTGGAATTTTGTATTTTCAAGCGGCTCCCGGACGAGCCTTCCATTCAAAGCACGAAGGGGGCTTACGCCTTGCATGGCATGCCTCACCGTTGGAGGCGCAGCACTCGACACCGCGGGGACGAGGAGATGGGCGACATGCTGCACAGTTAGAAAGCGTACAGCAAAACAAACAAAAGCAAACGGGCGAGAGTCGCTGAACTATAGTCAGTCAGTTGACACCCGCGGCTCTTCCGCGCTCCACTACGCTTGCCTCTCCGAGATATCGCGGCCAAAAATTAAAGACTGGTTTCTCATCCGCCGTTGCCGGGTCTCGAACCCACGTCAAGCCTCGGCCTGGCGTTGTGTGGGGCCATTCGCCCTCCAGCGCGACAAAGTGCCCCGGAACTCGGGAATGACGCGAATGGCGCGGCCGGCCGCGGCTCAAACCAATCGAATTCGGACTCGCATTTTATTTTTGAGCCGTTTTACACAGCCATTGATTTTGAGCAAACAAGGAACGCAATCAAGAGCCAGTCAGTGGGGGAGGGGGCCGCTGCGGGGTGCGCTTTGCCCGGCTTGTCGCGGCAAACATAACGAGTGGCGGCAGGATCCCGCGCCGCCGCGGCCGCCGCGGTTACGTGGCCAAAAGGGGCCAAAAGGGGAATGGAAGACGCGAATGAAAACGAGATAGAAATAGGCTGCGGGAAGCAAAGAGGCTCAGAGCTCCGCCACGCCCCCACCCCACCGAGTCAAATTGCCGAGCAAGATGCGGGGGCTATTGTGTTTCGGCGTCGTCGCCTCGTCCACCGCGGACAGCCAAACCCAGACCAGCGCGCTGCAGCGTGGCGTCGGGGATGCGGAGGACGCGCTGTTCCGGCCGGCGCGTCGCGGGGATGCACGGCTTGTGTGGGCCGATTCCGCGACCAGGCCGCCGTCGTCTGGCGGAAAGAGCCCGGCGTCGTGCGTCACAGCGAGGAGGAGGAGGAGGAAGAGGGGGAGGGGGTCGGTGGCGCCGGTCAGCCCACTCGCACTCATCGCGGACGTGCAGTGAGGGTGTCCACGCGGGCGCGCAGTGGGCCAGAAGACCGCACGGTAAAACGCGTCCTGAAAAAAAAACTAGGATTGAAAGACTCCAAAAGGTTGTACGGAGGGCCCGTTTCCAGGACGGTGCTGGAGAAAATGGCAAAACTTTCAGGACCGTCCTGGAACATGGTGCGTTTTTTTTGAGCCGGCCATCCGTTTCCAGGACTGTCCTAAAAGAAACAGACGCTTTCGACCAGGACAGTCCTGCAAACGGGGGGCAGGCCCCGCGGACCTTTTAAGGGACATGCTTGAGACTGTCTTCCTTTTCCTTGCCTTCGTCAGGGTGTGCAGTCGGCCGGCCGGACCGCGGCGCCGTGGTCGTGCGTGGAATCACGGTGCAGGTGTTCGTCGGCCACCTCAGCACCAGGCCGTCGACCGCCCCGGGCTAATTACACCGCAAATACTGCGGCGGTGAGGGCGGCTGGGATGACTTGTTTGTTTTATGATTAGTTTGGCAGCCCCGCCGCCCCGCCCTCCACGCCGGAAGCGTTCCCCCGTTTGCAGCCAGTTTAGTGCGCCACATGAATTTATTCTGACGGCGGCGCTCCCCACCCCTCGCCGCACTACACCAGCGGAATCCATCTCGAGCGAGTACCCTCCGCGATTAGTCCCCCTCCCCTCCACTACAAGTGTTTTGTCTCCCTTATCGCCGGCAGCACACGCGCGCCATCATGGTGGCCTCCTCGCTGGTCTGTGGAGTCCCGGCGTCCCGCGTCCTTGCACCTCGCCGTCGAGGCCGTCGAGGCGCCCGCCTGGGAGCGGCGGCAGCTGCTGCACGCGTTGCCACCGCGCCGCCACTCCCGCCAGGTGGCCGCACCACACCGACGGGCGGCACAACTTTTTGCGGTCTGGCATTGCTGGCGGCGCTGGCATCCCCTGGAGCGCGCCGTGCACGCCGTGCACGCCGTGCGCCGGCCACCCGTCGATCGGATTCGCTAGTCATCGGCCCGGCGGGGCGGTGAAGCAAACCGAGAAGGAGAGGCCGCCGGCAGGTCGCTGCCACGCCCCGCCCCGCCAGTCCGTGTGGGGCCACTATAACCAATGCGGGCTGGCGCCTCGTCCGCGGCTCGGCCCGGCCCGTAGGGCTGAATGGCGTCGCAAAAATTGCTTCCAGCTTCGGAGCGCATTGCCGCGGCCTGGAGGCTCCGGCCTGGAGGCTCCGGCCTGGAGGCTCTGGCCTGGAGGCGCGCGGTATGCGGGGAGAGACCGCTGCGGCGCTGCGGCGGTGTGGCGTGGCGCTGCTCAAAAGCACAGATAGGGCCAGGGGGAGCGGGGGAGATGTGCAGGGTAAACAGGAAAAAGAGTGAAATAAAATGAGATGAAAATGCGGGGCTCCGAGCGCGAGCACGCGCTTGGCACAAAGGGAAACAGGTGTAGTGGATTTTGGTCACCACTGGAAAAATAAAATTGAATTAGGACGCCACTGTGCCTTGCCGCCGTTTGCGAAAGCAGGGTGGGATCGGAATGTACATTAGGTAGAACGTGGGCGAGAAGCTGTAAGTCGGGTTCATGGTTCAATACCCACACAACTCTCTTCTTTTCTCTCTTTTTGTAAATTTGTTGCTTTGGCAGCGTTAATCCGTTGCGAACTTGCCCAATTTCTCGGCCGGGGGAAGTTTAAGGAGGCAATCGTTTGCTCCTCTCCCCCCTCCATCGCCGCCCCCATCGCCGCCTCCCTTTCGACCCTTTTCCGACCCTTGTTTCCGCGTTCGTGCCCGGTATGGCAAACACACGTCATATTCTTTTTCTCCCCACGTCCGTCGTTTCCCCTTTCGTTGATGTTTTTGTTGTTGGTTTTTTACTTACCTTCTTTTTGTCTTTTCGGTCCACCTGCATTAATGTTGTTTATGGGAAGGCCAGGGCGAAGGTGTGAAAAGAGGAATTGGACGCATCACGGCCTGTGCGAGCGGCACATGCATCCCGTGCGTGCATCGGGGCTGATTGGGAGCCACTCTGGAATTGGCATGGCTTTGCTCCCCCCCTCTGTCTCTCTCTCTCTGTGAGGGAGAGAGACAGACAGACAGAGAGAGGCAGACAGAGAGAGACACGCATTCCCGCGTGTTTTGATCCTCCCCGAATGCCGCCGCGTTGCCGCCGTGTTGCCGCCGTGTTGCCGCCAAGCGCGCCGTACCGGGCCGCACCCACAGCACACTGCGGTTGTGCACTCTGCCGTGCGATTTCCCCCTGTTTTCCAGTGACGCGACAGACGGCCGTTTGTGTTTGTGTCTGTTGGGCGTTTCGTACGCCGAGCGAGGCTCCCGAATTACCCTAAACCCAATTTTCGCGGCGCGCACTCCGCAGCCAGACAGCCAGACGCGCTATGTTGTTGTTGTTGTTGTTGTTGTTGTTGTTGTTGTTGTGCGCCATCTCGCGGCGTGGTGCGTGGGCGGGGCTTTGTACTCGCGCGAGCCGGGCCGCCAAGGCAGGGGGACGCTGGTGGACGTCGTCCTCGGCCTGCCGGTGACAGCGAGTCACGTCGCGCCACGTGAGTTCGAGGGGACGGCTGTCGGACAGCCCGGCAGGTAGGCCGTGCCCCGCAGTGGCAGCGCTCGCGAGTCGAGCGGGGTGCCTATCCCGGCCTCTGCAGGCGCTCTCTGTCCCACTCGGCCGGCCGGAGGGAGGAACGAATTCTGAGGAACAAATTTATTCACTTTTTAAGGTTACAGGGTGGCGGCGCCGCGGGCGCCGCGCGGCTTGCTGCGTTTAGCGTTTACACTGAAAAAAAGAAAAAAAACATTCGCCCACAGTGATGACTCATAAACCGTCGGAACATTACGACGTGGACATTTTACAGACACTTTAAAACGTAATCGGCTAGTGATGATTTTATTTTAATGGAGGTTCTTTTTTTTTGTTATTACCTTCGTTTGGCACATTTTCCTTTACTTACATTTCTGGCTGTGCAAGCGACGCGGGTCCGAGCGCTTGCCCTTTGTTCTCAATGGAAAATTCCCGCTGCCACGACGCGCCACAGCACGCCACGCCACGCCACGCCGCCCGTTTTATACACCCCGCCGACACTGCTGCGACTAGGCTAATATAAAAATAATTATGGGAATCATATTACACATTCCTCTTCCCTCTTCTTCCTCTTTTCTCCTCCATTTCAATGTCGGCCATCGCTCCGTTATTACCTCTCATCAGAGCGACTGCACTCGAAAAAGGCGAGAAGGGGGGGGAGGGTAGTCGGGTTGGCCGGACGACGCAGAGACTCAGAGAGAGAGAGAGGCCGGCCAGTTTTTCGGTCGGGCAGGGCATCCTAGGCGAGATGGGAATTTTATTTCCCTGAAGAGGGTGGGGATATTGAGGGCTGACAGGGACGAGGGGAGGGAGCGTGGTGGCAGGGCCGGGCAGTGCCAGGCTTGCCAACGGCACGAGTTGTGTCTCCGCACACAGAGGGAGCAGCCCCGCCGGTCCTTGGCGCGGCCACAACTTTTTAACGGTGGTGTCGTGATGCTCGGCGTGTTGTGCGCGGTATACACCTGGCGGTCTTGTCCACAGCGCGCCGCGCGCCCCGATTTTGTTTTCGTTCCAAAGGTCAAGCAGGGCTCGCGTGGTTTCTATTTCATCGTGGAAGCTGGCGGATTACCTCTGGGGCCAGCAGCAGAGCGGCAAAGCGGGGCCCTCGGCGGGGCCGCGGGGCTGCGACGGAGTTTGGCCGCCTCATGCAAGCTGCAGGGCGTGTCGGGCCGTGTCGGGCCGTGTCGAGCGGCTGGCGTACGGCGACGCGACGGTCGCGACGTCGGGACACGCGGGGCTGGTCCGGACTCTAGTCCGGGCCGCTGCAGTGCGCAAACACTGCCTCGTTAAAAGTTGCAAGCGCATGTGTCAAAAGTTGGGCGCGGCTTTCGGGTTTACTCTGCCGCGCTGCACGGCCAGGCAGGCAGGCAGTCAGGCAGCCAACGCGCGCGACAACTCGACAGCGGTGCCAACGTAACTATGTCGGCCACGAGGCGGGCATGCAGGCGGATTGGGCGGCGGATGGAAATCCGACAGAGTGAAACAAATGAGCAGGCGGCAGCCTAGCCTGCCAGCGTGCCTGCCCGCCTGCCCGCCTGCCTGCCTGCCTGCCCGCCTGCCTGCCTGCCCGCCTGCCTGCCTGCCCGCCTGTCGACAGTTGAAATGTTCCGGGAAGTCCGGGCGGGCGGCGACGACGCTCCGAGCGACGCTCCCATTCTCCAGCACGTCCTGCACCGCCGCAGCAGCCCGTGTTTGATTTCACATGCAAATTCGACGCGGCGAGGTGGGACGGCCCGGACGGCCCGGGCGGCCCACTGTAGGGAAGGGGCTGGGGTGGGGGTGCGGACACTCAGCCAGGCAGTTTGAAGTTGGCGCCGAGTCAAACAGGGCCGGGCCTTTAAACCAGAACTGCGCTAAATCGGAGCGAAGCGATTGCGGGTTGGGGACCCGCTCGTCCTCATCCCCCACCAGCACACTATTGTCGCGCATGCACACTCACACACCTCTGGAAACTCAATTTAGAGTGTCTGTGGAACTCTCTTTGGACCGGCGGCCTTGGTTAGGTGGTGGCGTTGCCGGGGGTGGGGGGAAAGCCTTTTGCCTCCGTGAGGCACCAAGCACTTCAAACTGCCTAACTAGGAGGCGCCCGGTTGGGCGACAAGGGATGCAGGCTTCGACCTCCCGCCGCGCACGTCATTGGTAAGTGCCTGTGTGGAGTCAACAGCCGTTGAGGCAAGGCGGGACAAAATGAAAAAGGGATGGGATTCGGAGGGAAAAGTGATGAGCCTTATTAGAAGGGACATCTCCCCTGTTCCCTTGCCAAGAATTCCCCGACTGCGTCCGGCCGGCTCAGCCAGCCTCCTGTCTCGCTTCCTCTTCCTCTCTTCTCCTTTCTCTTCCTTTCTCTCGCTCATCGAGTCATCCCTTTAATTTTTCATCCCCTGGTAATGGCCTGCCTCTTGCCAGTGCCTCTGGCTGCAACTCGAATATAATCCTTCCTTCCCGCTTCCCTCTCTAGCCGGGCAAAAATTAATATCCGGAGCCGCTCGGCCGAGCCGGCCCGCTGTCGAGCCCGACTGACCGCTCACGTGCTCGGCGACCTCCATCAGGCTTGCCCGGGCCTGCCCGTGGAACTGATGAGACGGGCGGGGACTGCGTCCACTCTAAGGAGGGCACTAACCGTTATCCCTTTACATGCCATCTCATGTCCTAAAACCCACCAAGTCCTTAGCAAAATCATTAAGATTTACGTGGATCCTAGACCATCGAAGATTTTTCTGGATCCAGAAGGCACCTCAGAGCCTTATGACAGCCCGAAAGGCATACCGCTGAGCCGGTTACCTTCCCTTGAGTAATGCTTCATATATGGACGCTAAACCACCCAATGTTGGTCACCGTTGTCTTCTTAAAGACCTTTACTACTGTCTGGGTCGGTCGGAAACACACGCCGTTTACTCAAATCCTGCATTTTCGAATTTACACTGGCACCGCGCGCTGCGTCACGCCAGACTCCCTCTCTACCCGGGGGCAGAGATTTTGCTCTTCCGGTCTGGGAACGGGGAACGGGGGTTCGGAGATTGGCGCGGATCGGATCGGGCTGGAGTCGCTGGAGGGGCGCTGGAGGGGCGGGATAGCGGCGGGGAGGTGTGATCATGGAGATTGATGAAGAGGCCGCATTCAGATGCAGTCCGTATAGTGCGTCTGGCGGGGCGTGGCGGGGCGGGGTAGGGCAGGGCAGGGCGGGGCGGGGCGGGGCAGGGCGGGGCGGGGCGGGCGGCGGCGGATATTGCGCCCTTGCGCCGCGCCGCCACACGTCACGGTCACCATCCCGGCCGTGCCGGAGCTAGCGGCTGACAACTCCGGCGACGCAGCCGGCCGACGGCGGCCATGCCCTTCCGGAAGAACGGCAACGCCGCTGAGTAAACTTTCCAGTGCTTTTCCAGCCAGGGCGTGGTGTGGTGGGGCGTGGCGGGGCGCGCTCTACCGGGAGTCACGGCACCGTAACGGGTGCGCTTGCACCTGGCGGCCGACCAGTCACCGAGTGGCGGAGAGTTCCTGTTCGGGGGGACTCAACCCACGTCCCTTATTTTGAACTGAGTAATGGTCCTGAGGTTGGCTAGAGGCAAACGTAGGGCCAGTCGAGTTGTTTTCTCGCTCCTCAAAGCGGACCCGCTGGCCCCCACGTCGATTTGGGTCTCGCTTGTGGACTGCAGAGCTCAAAGGCGGCCTGGTCCGAGCGCGTGGCGCGAGCGTGGCGTTGGCGCCAATGGCGCGGCCCAGCCGTCGACCCCGCGTGAGGCCAGGGCGAGCCAGGCCGTTGTGAGGGGTGACAAGGTGGCGGCGAGATAGGCCCGCAAGGCCCGGAATGAAAGTTATGGCTCGGCGTGCGCGGGGGCGGCGGGGGCGGCCGGGACGCAGCGCCCTGGAAGCTGTTTCCGAGCACCCTACCTCACTCGCACTCTTTGGGCGTTCTGCAGGGGGGAGAGAGACAGGGCGACGAACCGCTGTTCGGAACGAACCTCAGGCGGCTCGCGGGGCTCGGCGCGGCTCGGCGGCAGGAAGACAGGTGAGGCCGCGAGGCCATCTCTTTCTCCTTTGCGGGCCGAGGCCATCTTTCTGGGCTGAGGCCGCCGTCGCGGAGGCAGGCTGAGGCCGGGGTGGAGGCCGGGGTGGAGGCCGGGGTGGAGGCCGGGGTGGAGGCCGGGGTGGAGGCCGGGGTGGAGGCCGGGGTGGAGGCCGGGCTGGAGGCCGGGGGGAGGCCGGGGGAGGCCGAGGGTGAGGCCGGGGTGGAGGCGGGTGAGGCCGGGTGGAGGCCGGGGCTGGGGCGCGGGCCGCGGGGATCTCCGGCAGGGAATGAATCGGAGAAAGATGGGGGTGCGGGGCGCAGGGCGAGAGGTGAGCCAGCGAGTCCGGAACGGCACAAGATGGGACGCACCGGGACGGACCCCAATGACCGGGAGCAATGATCCGTCGCGATCCAAGAGGCGGAGGCGGCGGCCAAGATTGGAAAGAGCTGCGCGACCTCTGGACTGCCTTGCAACCAGAGCCCTCCCATTATTGCGCAGAAATTTCGAAGTGCTCTTGAACACTTCTAACAAAATAGCTACGACTGCCTAGTATTCCCCAATAGAATATTGAGAGTGTGTCCCTGTTTTCATAGATCAGCGGAACGCAGTTTGCCTTTGGTTGTGGGCAGCCTTCAGCCGCTTCGGAGTCGCACCTGAAGTGATGGTGGAGCCAAGCTTTGAAGGAGCTGGGTCTGGCCTTTCGAGTTGCTGCCAGGTACGGCCGCCCGACTCTGTGGCGCCGTGCCCGCGGGTCGCAGTGTAGTCCGCTCCTGCGAGAACTAGAACTAACTCGTCTCTTCCTGCGCAGGTCCACTCTTGGGAGGACGCCGCGGCGACCTCGTCCGCAGCAGCAGCCTTTGCGTTCCACGTGAGTGCCGAAGCCATTTGAGTTTGAGTGCAGGCCCGCCCGCCCGCAGGCCAAGCCGCAGGCCCGCCGCACGGCGGATGTGGTCGCGCGGAATTGCAGAATTATGGATGCGGCGATGTTTTCGGAGCTGGAAGCTGCTGGAAGCTGGGAGCGCTCGCCTAGCATTCGCCCCGAGCGTCGCGGCGGCGCGGCGGCGCGGCAGGTTGGCAGTGGTGGGAGAGCGAAGGGGATGTGGAAGCCAGTGGAAACAAGGCTGCAGCGCGCTTCGCCGTTAATAAAGTCGAAAATGAAATATGCCGGGCCGGATGGGGTGGGGCGTGGCGGGGGCGGGGCGGGGCGTGGCGGGGCGTGGCGGGCGGGGCGGGCGGGGGGGGGGGCGTGGCGGGGCGTGGCGCCCAGCCCAGCCCGGGCGGAGGGACGGGAGAGGCCTCGTCGATTCGGCTTCCTGTGTGCGGAAGGAGAGAGTCCTCCAGGAGGGCCTCCTTGTTGGCAGGCAGCGCGTCACCGTCCTGATGTGATTACGACGCTCCGCTCCGCCACCCTCCGGATGGGCCCCGCCACGCCCCGCCCCGCCCCGCCCCGCCCCCCGACGGCCTGCTTGCCCATTCTGGACAGAAGTCTTTTAATCGGATGTCTGGACTGATGGCCCGGCTGCGAAGGGCGCGAAGGGCTTAGTGCTGTGTAGGGCCGCGGCCGCTCGCTCTGGAACGGAGTCTCGTCCTTGGCCCACACCTTGGCCGGCCGGCCGGGACGGCGCTCACGTCCAGCCAAGGCAATTACGTTCCACCGTGTCGCCCTGGTCCTCGCTCTGTCTCTCTCGCACCCTTCCGGCAGACCGCGCCCCTTGAGTGCGAGAGAGACAGAGTGACGACGCTGCGCGCCGAAGCGTGGGAGAGATCAAGGGCAGTGTCACATTCCGTTCGGCCGATTATTTTTATCATTTGGCGCGGAGGCGGCGCGGGGGCGGCGCGGGGGCGGCGCGGCGTCCGCGTGGCGCTGCGGGGGCGGCGCTGCCGTCACCATGGCGACGGACCTGTTGCTACAACACCAGGGCCACCAGGCGGAGGCGGAGCAGGCGGAGTGGAGCATTGCAGGGCGGAGGAGAGGAGTCTGTCTGCCCGTCTGCCCGTCTTGCGAAAGCAACCCCGTTGTGAAACAGGCGCGCGGGAGAAGAGGGTAAATCGATGGGAAATAAATTAAGTAGTCGCCAATTTTCCCTCGCAGCCATTCGAATCACGACCGTCCTATTAACGCGTCTGATACCATTTCCATCCATTTTCGTTGCCGACGGCCGGGATGCCGCGCTGTTTTCCGGGCGGGTCCTTCTTCTCCCCCCCCCCTCCTCCCCCTCCTCTCCCATGTTGTGTGCTCGGGCCGCTGGGGCCACTGGGCCCTGCGGCGGCTCTGTTCTTCATCATGCTCGCCGAGTCCGCGGCGCTGATTCGTTCCGACATGGCGGGCGTTAGTGTGGCCACGCCGAGCCGCTCCAATACAATACCTCTCTTTCCCGCAGTCCCCGGAAACAATAAAGTAAAATTGGAATTGGACTTTTTTTTTTCTCGTGTGGGTTTGTGGCAGCCGGGAGAGAGAATTGGGGAGGAGAGAGAGTTAAAAAGTAATGAATGAGTGTTGGCGGTGCCTGCGGCAGCCTGCGGCTGCCTGCGGCCGGCCGCGCGGTCCTGCATCCTGGCAGTGTCCCGGGGGAATGGCATGCGCACGGGTCCCTCAGTCCCTCCCGAACTGCCAGTGCCGCCACCGGCCGCCACCGGCTGCCTCCCACATGGACACGGGGTGCTTTGGGGGGCCGGGGCGGGGCGGGGCGGGGCCGACGGGCCGAGAGAGGGACGCGCCGCTGAAAGGTTCTCCGCGGGGTTACGACTGAGTTTCGGGCTTCTGGCGCGCTAGTGCGGCACGAAGCTTCATCCATAAATGACGTACCTCTCTTCGCTCCCGCCGCCGCGCCGCCGCCTTGGCCTGCACTCCCGGCCCCGCCTCCTCCGCCTCCGCGTCCCCGTTCCGAGAGGCGTGTGCGCGCGTGCGCCGGGAGAGGGATTAACGCCGAGCTGGCGGCCAATCGGAACGACGCAGTCCATCTCGCCCCGTCTCGCGCCCAGACGCACCGCGGCACCGCGCCACGGGAGTGAAACAGGCGCCTGTAGAGTCGAGGATAGGCAACCAGGCGGGCTGCAGACTGTTTCCGGCAGTCTGTCTCTTTCGCACCTCCACGGGGCGCCCCATGAGTGCGAGAGAGAGAGAGAGCGACGAAAGCGACTCTCGGAATCAGTCTAGATCATGCACCGGAGGCAATCGCCTGGGTTGAGGCTGCAACCCTTCCCGCTGCACCGTGGGAGGTTAGGCGTAACGCCCCAACGACGCTACCTGTCGGGCCGATTGCAGCGGACGGCAGCCGTTATGCCGAATGGCCTTAAAGAAGGCTGGCCCGGATGAGCTCGGCAACGGCGTGGCTGCGTGGCTGCGTGCCTCGTAACTCCGGCAGCACGCATGCGGCAGCGAACGCAGCGAACGCAGCAGCACCGCCGTCTACTTTATGCGCCATATCACGGCCGTGTCGGGCCGCCGCGCCGAGCCGCGCTGTGTCGAGCATCGCCGTGGCGTGCCTTGCCGTGGCGTGCCACGCCGTGCCCGCCAGGTGTCGGGTCGGTAACACGGACAGAGGCCTTAGCTGTGCGGGTTTATATTACGGACGCAACGCGCCGCAGTGTTCACCAGGGGCGAGGCTCGGCGGGAAACCACACACGCACAAAATGTCTCTCTCTCTCTCTCTCCTCTCTCTCTCACGCAAAAAACACGCAGAAAACAACACAACAAGGGAACGGCGCGTCGTTTGCAGTGATCTGGCCGCTGGTTATTGCGAGCGCGCTCGAGAAAGGAGGGAAAAATCATGTCAGTCGGGATGTGTCGTGTCTCTGAGCTTCCATACCGCAGCCGTGTTCAACATCATTCGACTGGGTAACACGGAAGAAAGAAAGAATGATAGTAAACTGAAAGGAAGAGACGTCACCCCGGTGGTGTTTGAACTCGGGGGCCTCCCTGCGCAGGCGCTTCTTCCACGTGTCACACTGCTCCACGCTCGCGGAGCCGCGCCGCGCCACCGCAAGGCAAGGCCGCAAGGCAAGGCCGCAAGGCAAGGCCGCAAGGCAAGGCCGCAAGGCAAGGCAAGGCCGCAAGGCAAGGCCGCAAGGCAAGGCCGCAAGGCAAGGCCGCAAGGCAAGGCCGCAAGGCAAGGCCGCAAGGCAAGGCCGCAAGGCCGCGCCGAGTAATATAGGGGGTATTCGCTGCCGGTGAGTGGCACGATTGAATGTCGTGGCTTCTCACCGCGACAGAGAATGCGTGCGTGCGTGCGTGCGTGTGTGTGTGTGTGGGGGGGGGGGGTAGATAGAGTGTCGGGAAGAGTAGTGCGAGAGAGAGAGAGAGAGACAGAGAGAGAGAGAGAGAGAGAGAGAGAGAGAGAGAGAGAGAGAGAGAGAGAGAGAGAGAGAGAGAGAGAGAGAGAGTTGGTGTGAGTGTGTTCGCTGGAGGGCAGAGGGAGCGAGGAATAGCAGTGGCTGCCGGAAGGAAGCCATTTGCACAGGCTCACGGCAGGGCCAGGCAGGGCCAGGGAGCGGTGCACTGTCACCCTGCATGCCATTAGTCTCCTCCTCGCCCCCTTCCCCGTCTCTCCTTCTTGTTTCCTTTTTGCTCCTTCCTGAAAATCTTTCCCGTCCTTTCTGCACCGGTATGCAGGCAGCCCCTCTTCCCTTGTATTCGCCGCCCCCGCCGCAGGGCCGCAGCCGTAGGGTGCCCCCGAGCGCGGCATCGCCTCGCCGCCCCCCGAGGCCCCCGACGGCGGCGATGGCAGTGCCCTCTGGTGGCAGCACGCCAGGGCCGGCGCGATTCGCGTCTGTGCGGCGCGGCGGCGCGGCCGAGTGAACAGAAAGGCGTTTCAAGCTGCTGGAACGGCGCTGGCCCGGCGCGGCGGCCATTGGGACCACTGGGACCACTGGGAGGGGAAGGGTTGCTTTTTGGATCGAGATGGCGACGCCATATCGAGGCCGGCGCCGCGCCGATGGACTGCGTCGCTCCGCGTCTTATCGTGATTTATCGGTCTCCAGCAGGCCGGGCCAGGCCGGGCCATGGCGGGTGCTGCGGAGGATATATCCTTGTAATCCAGTACCTAGGCCGATTCGGAAACGGGGAGAGGGGGGACGGGATTTCAAAGATTGATTCCCAGTGCATCAGTCTGCGGCAGGCAAGAACACGGTTCGACTCCGGCCACCATCCATCATGTTTTTGTCACCACAATATTCAAAATTCGCGAAGTAAGAAGCCTGATAAATATAATGTTTTTTTTGGCACGCGCGAGCTTCTGTGCGTGGCATCGACGCCCCGCCGCCGTGCCGTGGTCCGGCCAGTGATATATTCCTCGAACCGCCGCGAGGCGCCGCGCGTCCCGAAAATAAACAGGAATGGGCATCGGCGGTCGTGTGTGGCGGACCGCCCCGCCCCGCCACGCCCCGCCACGCCCCGCCCCGCCACGCCCCGCCCCGCCACACCCCGCCCCGCCCCGCCACGCCCCGCCACGCCCCGCCACGCCCCGCCACGCCCCGCCACGCCCCGCCCGCCCCGCCACGCCCCGCCCCGCCACACCCCCACCCCACCCCTGGCGGCGCCGCTCCCAAGTCTGCCGATCAACATTTTGCCAAGGAGGCGCAGCGAGCAGTGAGCCCGCCGCCGGGCCTCCTTGAGCCGAGCTTAGCCGCGGCAAGCTTTCTGAGTAGCCGTGCGGGGAGGGGGTACTGCTGCTGACAGTCTAACGGCTCGGAGTTTGCAAAGGGAACACCAGCAGAGACGCGCGCCACCCCCCCCCCCCCCCCCCCTGCCACCGCCGGCTTCAAAAATGAAGCCAGTGCTGGCAGGTCTCCCCCCACCTGGCCGTCCCGCCGCCCTTCAGCGTGACGTCAATATCGTTTGCTTGTTGTTGGCTGATGATAAACGATGCC